CCCGGGTACAGACCTACACACTGCCTATCAAGCCATTGCTGTGGCAGGCGTCCCACATATAAAGTAGAGGAAGATGGGCACGGATGTTAGCTCAGGGCCAATCTTCCTTAGCACAAAAGAGGAGGATGGGCAGCAGATGTTAGATCAGGGCTAATCTTCCTCAAAAAAAAATAGATCTGATTTTGAAATTTTAAATCTGATTAAAACATTTAATTCAGATCTTTAGATAAAAGAAACTTCTGGAGAAAAAAGTAAATTTCAGCTGTAAACGCACACTGAGTTCTTTTCCAGTGGAAACAGTATCTCTGAGTTTGTGCTGTGCTCTCCTGCCTCTTTCCCTTCCTTGGCTGTTGCTCTGTCTGCACTGCCCCTCTCTTCAATAAATGCCAGCCCAAGTCCTTCCTTCGAGGCTCTGCTTAAATGTCATCTCTTCCCAGAAGCTTCTCCTGTTCCTCTGGTCAGAATGAATGCCTCCCCTTCCTACACAACTCTTAGCCTCTTCATGGGCCTCATTAATGGTCTTGCATCTGGGGCGTGTAGAGTTCATCATTCTGATGTTGACCCAATTCTCAAATATTGCAGTGTTTCCTGTGAGAGGCACTACTGTGCAGGGATCAAGAGCATGGGCTTTGGAGCTAGACCACCTGGGCTGAGGTCCCAGCTCTGCCACTCTCTTACTTTACGACCTTGGGCAAATTCTTTGACCTCCCAAGCCTCTGTCTCTTCATCTGTACACTGGGGATAATAATTGTACCTTCACCTCATAGGATTTGAGAGATAACGCACATGAAGAGCTGAGAACAGTACTCGGCATACAGTAAGTGTTATGTAAACGTCAGCATTACCAGTTTTATGTGCCCGGCACTGTGCTAGTCATTGTCACGTATATCTCTTGGTGTCTCTCCTCTTATCTCCACCACGCCATTTCCACACCTATCATAGCAACCTTTTATAGTATGATCATGGTCCTTCAGTAGCTCCCCGTTGCCTTTAGATTAGTGGTTCAGAGAATGGGTTCTAGAGCCTATTTGTCTGGGTCCAAATACCGTACTAGGTGTGTGACTTTGGATCAGCTACTTAACCTCTTGGTGCCTTAGTGCCTTCATCTGAAAAAGGAAGAAATTAATAATACCTACCTCAGAGGGTTGTTGTGAGGATTAAATAGGCCTATGAATGTAAAATGCTAAGGATATATTTCATACCTAATAAGTGCTCCAAAATGTTAGCTATCATTATTATTCTTATTGCATGAGGTCCGTACATGTTTGCTGCATTGAGCTAGATATATTCCAGGCTACGTCAAGCAATAAGGATGTAGTTTTTGTAGGAAACCCTCACTGAATCTTGCCTGGTGGAATAACATCAGATCGGCCCCTCTCTCCCCGACTCCCTCCCCTCTCCATCTTTCTCCCTTTCTCACACACACAGAATTCTAAAATCTGCCTCAAACTTGCTAGGCATTATTCACTGACAATCTGTATTTCACTTCCTTTGAACAGTGGAAAAGGCTGTGTCAATTTATCTTTTAAAGCTGCTTCTTGCTGAATCCACATATGTCCATTAACGGTGACTCTGGATGGAACAGCGTCTGTAGAGGCCCATCTCAAACGATCCCCATTTAATGTGAGCTGTGACTTCCCAAGGCCGCTGCTCATTAGCGGCTACTTCTTATTTCTTCCCATAGTTCAGACGTACGATGAAACTGAAAGAGCTTTTTACAAAGATTCTACTGGGGCGGCTACAAAACTGAGCATCTGAGCCTGGTCTGAAAGGAGGAAAGGGAGCTTGGCACAGGTACCAAAGAGGAGAAACAGGTCCCATGTTTCCTGGATTCCAAGATGTACTTCTCCTTTTCACATTTTAATGTTTCTGGAATTGGAATGTGTCTTCAGTCCTTGTATACATTTCGAGCAGCGTCCTTTCCCCCCCTCACCTGAAGAGTTGTTATTAAATGGATGGTACATTTTAAAACTGAGGAAAGGTGGCACTTTTGATTTTAAAAAAGTTGTCCAAATATAAGAAAGCCTGCATTAACTTTTGAGGAAAATGCTCAAAGCCAGCTTAGAGGTAGGGAGTGGACGAGATAATTCTCAACCACAGGGAAGAAAACAGGCCTGCAGGACAAGCTGTCTGAGGAACCAGTGGCCCTGCACAGCCTGGCTGGCTCGGCTCGGCACCTCCTCTTGGCAATAACCCGTCAGAGCATAGATGCCTGGGGCGTGCCCCAACCCACTGCTAAGGGTGCTTGGCGGGAAAGGAACTCCGGAACTTGGTTTCTCTTTCTTTGACTGAGAACTGCTATTGTTCTTGGAGCTTTTTTAAAGGCATAGGACTACATTTGGGAGTAAAAGTGGTTGTGAAAATATAGTTATTTCCTTACAGTGAACCAAACTACCTCTTAATTAATTAATTAGTTAATTAATCCAACAAGTACTTACTGAGCAATACCATGTGCCGGGCCCCTGCTGGTCACTCTATGTATGTTGTCTAAAGAAATGGTCTGAGCAACCCTATGAGACAGGTATTGAAATTCAGCCCCATTTTCCAGACCCAGAAACTGAGGCTTGGAGAAGAGTGACTCCACCCAACTCAAGCAGGTAGGAACTGGCATGGCAGGCATAGGCGCCCTGGGCTGTCTACACCAGAACTCCTCTTTGAACTGCCCCACACCATTCCACATGGCTTCAACTTGCTTTCTGTTCCCAGAGAAGAGAACCGAGGGCCACAGTGAGGTGGTGGCAGGGTCAGGACTAGATCTGGTGTCTCTGACTCTCAGCCCAAGGCTCTTTTTACTACTCTGTGTCAAAGCTTTTGGGAGTATAAAAAACCACCTGGAGGATGGGGGGTTGGGAATCAAGCAAGGCTTTCCCTGGTGATGGCTTCTTTTTTTTGTTTTTGAGGAAGATTGGCCCTGAATTAACATCTGCCACCAATCCTCCTCTTTTTGCTGAGGAAGACTGGCCCTGAACTAACATCCGCGCCCATCTTCCTCTACTTTATATGTGGGACGCCTGCCACAGCATGGCTTGACAAGCGGTGCCATGTCCACACCCGGGATCTGAACCGGCAAACCCTGTGCCAGCCAAGTGGAATGTGCAAACTTAACCGCTGTGCCACAGGGCTGGCCCCAGCTTCCTTTTTTTATTTTTCATGCTTACTAAGTCCAACAAAGCTGCAAGCCCCACCCCGGGTCACCTACGTTCCATGAGAACAATTGAGGCAAACAATTCACCACCACATTTCATCATGTTTCACAATTGAGGCAAACAATTCACCACCACATTTCATCATGTTTCACCGTTGTGATTTACCTGATGCTAAAAGATCAGCTCACATCAGGGATTACTTGGTGCATGCAGAGAAGAAGGATGTCTTCTCTATGGAATCCTAGCAGAGGCACAAGCCATTCTCACCTGAGCTTCAGGAAGGACTCTCCACGCCCAAACCCTTTTCATAATCAGGTGTAATTATTCTTGTCCTTTGTCTTCGCTTGCACCAGTGTGAGAGTAAGTCTTTAATCTGGGAGCCATTAGGATGGCAGAATAGTGAGGTCACCTGGATTAGCAGCTAATGGATTCTATACCCTTTGTTCTAATGATAATAGGATGAAACAGTGGAATATTACTCTGAAGCTTCTGTGGGAGAATTTACAGGACTCAGGCTGGTGTGTTTTGCAAATTAGGTGGCAATACAGAGAGAAACCAGTTGTAATGCTTTCCTGTTCTTGGGCAGCTCCAGTAGCAGCTTGTTTCTTGGGTCATCCTGTTCCAAAGGGGTCTCCCCATCCCTCTGCCTCAAAGTCCCCAAGCCCCACCTGGCTTACCTTGCAGCAGTGTATAGAAGGCACCTGAGGCAGACAGGTTGGTGGTTATGGTGACATCATCCTTGCTCGAGGTCTCTACCTGGACATGCACTGAGCTGTCTGTATCACTTCGGAAACTGCTCACCTGGCCAGTAGGGAAGGTCACATTTGTCAGGCGGCCAAAGCTGTCATACCTGAAAACCAAGGGGTGGCTCTGAGTAACAGAAATATAAGGCTGCTATAGCTGGAACTCGGCACATTCTGCCTTATCCCACCGTGCTGCATGGTCTGCTTTTCTCTCTGGTCAGATACATTTCCATGCCTCCTCCATCTCCTTGCACATAGGTTTCAGGATACGACTCCATCTGCTGATATCCAACTGCAGGCAAATGACTTACCTCTCTGAGTCTCCCTTTCCTAATTCCAGGAAGTGGAGATGATAACCCCTGCTCTGCCTACCTCCCAGGATCACTGTAAGGAACACCTGGAAGTGCCCTGTAGCTATAAACGAATATTCACCCATGGAGGGTGAGATGCTAGTGGCCATATGAGACTGCTGACGCAGAGTCTTGGGGTGGGGGGCCGGGGGGGCACATGGGGAGGATTCCCAGAGGGGAAGTGGTCAAACTTGATGCTTGAATCCCCTCTCAAAACCCCCAAGAACTGGTTATACAGGTTCTTCCTGAACAACACTAGAGATGGGGCTTCTAGGAAGCTACAGATCCTGAGAAAAGGGACTCTGACTTCAAACCAGGACTCTGCTGCCACATAAACAGGCTAGAGAAATGGGCTCTTGCAACCTCTGCCCATCTAGATTTCACATCTGGCACCAAGCAGCTATGTATCTGCAGCTTTCAGAGCTCACTGCTTTGCTCTGGTGTGGTCTTTCTGAAGCATCATAATTGAATCTTAATTCTCTTTCCCATTCTCCTGATAATAAAAGAAATACCTAAGATTATTGAACACCTACAATGTACCAGATATGGTGCTAGTCGCTTTTCATACGTTCTTTCATTTAATCCTCACAACTAGTCTAAAAGATATATATTATCTCCTTTTTGGAGAAGGCTCAGAAATTGAGGCTCATAAAAGTGAAGTCACCCGCTTGAGGTTACACAGCTAGTAAGTGTGGTAAGTCAAAATTCAAACTCAGGTCTGTCTGCTTCCAAGCCACCACCTGCTTCTCTGTCTTCCACAGGCATTTCCGTACTGTCCGTTTGCAAGTATCCATTGTGTGTGCTCTCCCACCTGCTGCAGAGTGCTTGGGAGGTGGCAAGGAGTCAGCTATTAACATTTTAGTTCCGGGAGGCTGAAGTGTAAAAAGGTAGGTTTAATTAGCCTTTTTGCACTTGCATGTGAATGGGGGAAAATTCCTCATCCACATGTCAGTATTTCTGACTTCTACTCATGCTCAAGCTTGCAGCGTGGGTCCAGCCACGTATGTCTCCCCCAGTTACTCTGGGTCTTCCTACTGGACTTTTTTTCCTGCTTTGCGTTTACTCCTGGAATAAAGCTGGCCTCTGGCCCCCTGAGGGTTTTAAGAGTAGTGAAATGAAAGGCCCGAGAGTTCAGCTCCATCCTGGCTCTTCTTGTGATTCCTTCAGCTGAGCCTGGCTTCCTGCCGGGACCCCTGGGTCCTATACCATCTATGGTTTCAGGTGAGACTTGGTGGGTGGGGCTAGGCAGGCCTTCGCTGAGCACTTTTCTGCTCAGGGTCAGATTTGAGTGCTGCATGGATTCTGCCATCTGCCTGCTCCTTCTCTCCCTGTGCCTGGTACTGATCACGGCACTCTTTACAATGTCCCTGGCACAGTCTGCCACAGAGGAGGTGTTGGTAATGGTCTTTTGAACAAAACCTCCCAGTCCTTGACTCCAGCTCTGGGGGAAGGGCCAAGGGGCTTTGGGAAAGTTGAGTCTCTCTGTTGCTGAGGCCTGAGGAAGGGGAACAGAAGCCCATTCCAAGATGGCGAGCAACTCAGTGGTCTCTACCACATACCTCAGGCCTGGGCTTGGTGGGGCAAGGCTGTGGGCCTGTATCAGTCCTTTAGGCTCTCCTCTGGGCAGTTAAAGGGCTTTGGAAACCTGTTTCCTATCATGATTTCTCATTTTTCTCCCATAGTATTAAGTGAGGTTCTCATAAGAAAAGTTCAGTCTGCCTTAGCGGAGAGTGACGGGGTAGCCTGCAACCTGGCTTGGAGGGTCAAAAGTGCAGAGGGCCCCTCTGAGCCAGGTGAGGGAGTGATTCTGAGAGATTGCTGCTGGGAAGGGGGGCAACGATCTTTGGGGTAAAGATCTACAATGTTTGTCCCAAGGTAGACTCACTCACTCTGCTCCCTTTAACTCTAGGTTCTTATTGACCCTTTATGGTTGCTGAAAATTTGAACAGGAAGGATTTTCACAAAAACGTTGACAGTGATTCTCTCTGGAAGGTAGAATTACAGGTGATTTTAATTGCTTATTTATTTATATTTTATATTCCTAAGATTTTCTATAATTAACAATGGATTATTTTCATAATCAGAAAAGTGCTGCGACAACCCAAGTAATGCCATATACAGGGAGCTCATGGCCATCTTGAGGAAGAGGACCTTTTAAATTACTGGCATTTGTGGAAGGGTCTCACTTATGGGACATCTGCCAATATCAATCTCCAGGCTTTTTCAGTAAAATATTACTGGGGCACCCCAAATCCCTGAGCCCCAAATCAAGACCCTCCAAAACCGGCTCTGTCCTGGTCATCTTAACTTTATCTGTGGTCTATGAGTACCTGAGACCTGTCGGATCCCGAGTCCTCTTTTAAATCAATAGGAAGATCTGTTTTGGTCTCACAGTTTCACGGGATGGGTATGCTGTGCTAGTCTGGTTCTGTGAATACCTGTTATCCATGTACACACTCTTTATTAATGAGACTACTTATTCAGACTATCTAATTTCCTGACCTAACCAGATAAAAAATATTTTATTATACCATTCAAGATACTTAAAAAGGACTTAAGGAGCCTTACAAATAAGACTTGATAGATTACTAATTAAGGGTCAGATGTCACTTCAGTACTGCTTCTAAGAAGGCCTTGCTCAAGGCCATCTCATAAAGCCCTCCTTGGTCTCTCCCGTCCCTTCTTCTCCCAGGGATACTCCAGCACAGCTCCATCACAGACTGTGTCCCCTGCATTGTAACAGCTGATGTACAAATTGTCTCCCACTTCAGCGCGGGAGTGCTTGAGTCAGGACAGGGCTGTGGAGTCAGACAGCTGGACTGGGACTCTGGATTCCACCACCTGCCAGCAATGTGGCCCTGGAGGACTAGCTCTGTCCATCTCAGCTTCCCCAGCAGTGGGACTGGCAGACAGAAGACAGGCAGGGAATGTTGGCTGAACAAATAAAGGAATGCATGATTGGATGTGTGAAGCCTTTTTCCTGCTCTGTTGGGAAGGACCATGATTCATTCACATGCTACCTCCTGCGGGACTTGACAGAGGCTTGACACACAGTAGGGACATGATAAACATCCGCTGAATGCACAAATACAGACACAACCGTCTTCACTAAATGATACTTTAGCAATCTCCATAGGCCTCTCCCCAGAGTTTTAGTCTTCAAGACAGAAAGCGGCTTGCATAAAGGCAGACAATTGTAACTATTATTGAAGATAGCCTGTAATACATAATTAAATTGAGCCTGAAGAAGATACAATGAAAAGGCCCCATGCCTTCAAGATCTGGTTTTCATTTTATATGAGATGGCCAAAAAACAGTAATTTCCACTCCTCACATTTTCCATTAGAAGGACTGAATGTCTTAATTAAATGAACATCAAATAGAACAGCCAATTGATAGAATTTTCTTGTCTCCTATTCATTCATTTCAGTGCCTTCCAGAGCTTGAGAAATGCCACTGGATCTCCCAGCTGCCTGACCAATACCTGTGATTAGCCCATCAGAACACCCTTGCTTCTGCCTCTGCAGGGAAGAATTGGAGCTGCCCATCCCCTGGATCTTGAACACCTCTGCCCCATGGCCCCCTCGGGGGAGCCCTTTCTCTTCCCACTACAAAGATGCTATGAGAACAGGGGCTGGTGCTGCCCAATGAGGTGCTGGGGGACAGTTCTCTGCACTCTCTGGATTCCAAGTGGCTGCTTTAGACCCTGGATCCATGACTGGGTGACTTCAGGACAAAGGCTTAGTTATGTCTGTCATGCCTTTATTAGTGGCAAATTTTCTTTCTTTCTAACCAAGAGGAATGGAAGGAACGTGTTGGTGTGGGAAGGCCCTTGGAGTCAGACAGTCTAGGCTTTGAATCCAGGCTCTACACCTGCCAGCAATGCAACCCTCGGGGATGGGCACTCAGTTCTGTTTCCCTGTCAACTCCCTGAGGGAAGAAGGGACTGTATTTGGTCACTGCTGTATCCCCAGAACTTAGAGGGGTACGTGGCATATAGTAGGGGCTCAATAATGTGAATGAAGGTTGGTTGAAGGACCTACTCCTTGCCGCCTCTCTTCCTGATTTCACCTTGAACCCTATTCCCCCGTACTTCCTGCATTCTATTACCTCTCCTTCTCTTCTCCAAACATGCCAAGCTCAAGCCAGGCTCGGGAGGCTCACACTTACTGTTCCCTTTACAGCAACTGTCCTTCCCTCCAATCTAGGTATGGTTAGTTCCTTTCATTACTCAGGTTTTGGTTCAGATGTTATCACTCCAGCAAGGCCTTCTGTGATCACCCTTTTTGACGGGTTCTCCCATCTCTGTCACATTATCTTATTTTATTGTCTTCATTATACTTATTATCTTGCTTATGTGTTTACTTGCTTCTTGTCTATCTGTTCCCACTGGAATACAAGCTCCATGAGGACGGGTACCTTGTCCATATTCTCAGTGCCTAGATGAGTACCCAGCATATAAAAGGTACTCAATACATATTTCTTGGATGAATGAATGAATGAATAAATAGTAGACATTGTTGTTTTTTCAAGATATGGACTAAGAATAACTAAGAACTCCACCCCTTTAACCTGTCACTTCCATATGAAGAAGGGAAAGTTCACTAATATTCCTAGAGTACCTTTTAGGTACCAAGCACTGGGCTCATAACCATCTTTTGAGGTAGGCATCATCACTGTCATTTCACAGTTCATGAGGCTGAGGCTCAGAAAGGATAAGTAACTTGCCTAAGATCACACAGCTAGTAGACGAATAGGATTCAAAGTCAGGTCTGTCTGACTTTAAAGTCTGTGTTCTTTCATCAGTCTTCCCATAAAGCAATGCTGTTTCAAATCAAAACCTTCATGTTCATCGCTATGTTAAAGAAAAAACTGTGTTTGGAAATCTCAAGTGGATCAAGAAGACTGACAGTTTTCTCTTCAAGATGCTTTGCTTTGTACCACTGCGACTGACTTTGCAGTGATGGCAAGCCCCCATTCCAGGGTATGACAGAGAGTGCCACATGAGTGGCTTTTCATTATTTCCTTCCACTGACTTTTCTTCACTCCATTTTCCTAAAACATCTTTGGAGATGGGGAAAGAAAACACATAAAACATTCATATGGTTGCTGTGAACTTGGCTCTCAGAAGAGGACTGCTAAAGGGTTTCTTCACACACACTGCAAGGCTTTCTTCTTCACACTCAATACTTCACTTCTCAAGCCACTTACTATGCGCAGCTGGCAAGGAAAATGCCAGATTGCCTCTCTGATGCTAACTTTTTTTGCTGATCGAGACTTTTTGGTTGGGAAATAAAGATTTGATTTTTATAACTTCTATGATTGTTTCAAACAACACCATCATCAACAAGAAGAATTGGACACTGTATCTTCTGTGAATAATTAGAGTTCACAGCCCATGCACACCAATAATTCCCTTGGCCTCAGGTCACTATAATAGATGGCATCACTACATCATTAGCTACTCTCAGACTGTATCAGAGCCAGGGAACTTTTGGGCTTCTGCAATAAAAACTTGTACTTGCTGCCCATTCCCTATAGAATTAAGTCCCAGCAATGAATTCTAGCCTTGAGGATTTCCAAGATCTAGTCCATCCTACCACTGTAGGTTTTATCTCTCACTGATGTATTTGAGGTAATGCATCTGATGGAAAATGCTTAAGATACAGGTAGATCTGGGATCGAATCCCGGCTCTGCCACGAGTGTGTACAATGTCATAGAGCCAGTCAGCGTCTGTGGTTGTTATTCTCTGTTTTTCCCCTCAGATCCATTCTCTGCCCTTCTCTGTGCCCAGAAGGGCTGACCCCTGCAGACTGCATCACTGAGGCCCTCTTGCTTTCTTGCTTCTGGTTGGATTCCAGTCAATGGCAGGCACTGGTAAGAGATTGAAGGTCAAGAGGAGAAGTTGCAACTCACTCTCTATCTCCTTTAGTACCATATTTCTAATAGTGGCTGCATCTATCCACAATTACAGCTTCTACCAGATGGCTTCCCCTTCATGGTTACAGCTCCCAATGGGCTTCAGTGGTAACACCCTATACCTTCTCTGCCTTGCCCTTTAGCCTGAGGCTTGACCATAGTTGTTCACCATTTTTAGTGCCTGGGTGCCTCACCATCCTTTCTTGGTTCCCTTATCCCTGCCTACACCTCTATAACATTTCATTTGAAAGATATTTTTGCTGGGTATAGAATTCTGGGTTGACAGGGTTTTTTTTTTTTTCCTTTCAGCACTTCTGTCTTCTAGCTTGCACGGTTTCTGATGAGAAGTCAGCTGTAATTTTTAATCCTTGCTCCTCTGTATAAAATGCCTTTTTTTTTTTTCCTGGCTGCTTTCAAGAGTTTCTCTTTTTGTTTTGTATTCAGCAGTTTTAATATGATATACCTAGATGTGTGTGTATGTGTATTTAATCTGCTTAGTATTTTATGAGTTTTTTGGGTCTGTGGTTTGGTGTCTGTCATTAACTAGGGATAACTCTTGACCATTATTCCTCCAAATATTTCTTCTGCCTTGTTCTTTCTCTCTTCCCCTGGAATTCCAATTACATGTATTCTAGACCAGTTGATATTGTCCCCCAGCTCTTAGATGTCCTGCTCTGTATTTTTTCACTTTTTTTTCACTTTGTGTTTCAGTTTTGGAAATTTCTACTGACTCAACTTCTTTCCTCAGCTGTGTCAAGTCTACTGACAAGCCCACCAGAGGCATTCTTCATCTCTGTAATTATGTTTTTCATTTCTAGCATTTCCATTTGATTCTCTCTTATAGTTTCCATTTCTCTTTTGAAATTATCCATCTGATTTCACATATTCTTCACCTTTTCCATTAGAGCCTTTAACATAATTACAGTTATTTTAAATTTCCTAAAAGATAGTTTCAACATCTGTGTCACATCTGAACATGATTCTGATGATTCCTTTGTCTCTTGGGAGTGTGTTGCTTTTTCTTTCCTTTTTGTATATCCAGTTGAAAGTGCTACATCTTGTGTAGCATAGTAGAGACGGAGGTAACAGGTTTTATGCCTGGAAATGGAGATGAGTTTGGTGAGGGCGTTCAAGTTAATTTAATTAGGACTTGGGCTGGCTTTGAAGTTGGTTGTTTCTATGGTTAACCTTAGCACATCATAGACTTTAAATTCCTCCAGCAATACTGTTACCAAAACCAAAGTGCGTTTGCCTCCTGGTGAGTTAAATCAGACTCTCCACCAGAAGTAGCTGCCACATAAAGTGGGATATATTTGCAGCAAATAGGAGGCCACATAGAATCATTTCCAAAGTCATGGTGTCCCTGAACAAAGGGAAGCAGAGAGCTTTTATTTCGGATAGAGGATGAATATTCAAAAGGGAGAGGAGGGTATTTGCTTGTGCAGGCTCAGTTGGAAAAGATGCTTCCACATACACTGCCGGGTAGCGTAATAAGGGCTAAGCTCCTCCCTGAGAGGAGATCTTAGCATTAAAAATGAGACGAAGGTCATAGGGCTGCTCTTGGGGTGGGGCTTGTCTGGTTCAGGGTGGTTGATGATTGCATCTTATTAAACAGTTAAATGCTTCTGGAACCCAGCCTTGAGTTCCTCCAGGCAATTAGTCAGTGACAATACCTTGTGTTTAGGGTGCAAAACTGGTTTGCCCAAGTTTTTTTCTCAATGTCTACTCCATTCTCAGCTTTAGGTCCCCTCCTCTGTGTGCTGGGCCTTCGAAAGGATCTCTTTCCATGTTTTTGTCCCTTTCTTATCTCTTTCCTAGTAGGATTCTGCTTTTCATCGTTATGTTTAGCTTTTTAGCTAGTGGTCGTGGGTGGTAAGCATGAGAGAGTTCTCTGTTGTTCTGATTAAGCCCCAGTCTTACCTATGCTTGTGTCCCTGAGTCTCAGGAGTGTGGCCTCTACCATGCTCCTGCCCCTTTTCAGGCTATAGTTATGGGCCTCTTCCATACTCCTGCTCCTCTCCTAGCAATAGTTTAAATTTTTTTTCTTCCTTCCTTCAGCTGCAGTGGGTTTCCACTAGTGCCTGCAGAGGATACTGCTATTGCCTCCCTCTTCACAGATTAAGGTTTTTGTTCCACGTAGGAGATAAGGTGAGAAGGGTCTGGGTGGAGCAGGCAGATATTCGTGCTCCTCCCTCAGCAGCTGCTGTACCCCTCCCCCAGGTCTACACAAGGAACACTCTCCTAAATCTTTCTCCACTCTTTTCTGCCAGTACCCGGTGGGGTTTGTGGAGAAAAGTTCTGAAGAGGATGTGGACCCTCCCAATGTCTGCAGCCTCCAAGGGCTTCATACTCTCTTGCCAGTACACACTTAGCCTTTATAAATTTGGGAACCACCCTAACTGAACTTTTCTTATGCGTGACTGGTTGCACCTACCCCACGGAAGCTACTGCTCACATCTTGTCTTTCTCTTCAGCAGTCTGTCTTTCCTTGGATTTGGCCAGTTGATTGCCCCGTGACCTCAGAGAAGGAGTTCAAGGAAAACTCATGAATTTGCCATTTGTCTGGCTTATTTTCATCGGAAGTTGGGAACGATGCTCTTTCTAAGCTCTTACATCCTCAAGCAAAACCTGGAAGCCAAGTTTCTTCATTTGAACCACTTGAGTTGAATCCTATTTCCTGCCGGGAGCACAGATAGTGCTGGAGCTTGGGTTTAAATCTAGTATTCTTCTCACTACAGCATATTCTCTCTTCCCTTCTTTATCTCCCTTCCCTCTTGACTTTACATTTCATTCATAAAATATTTACTGAGCACCTACTAGGTTGTAAGCCCTAAGCTTGTACAGAGAGAAGTTAGTCAGGGTCTCACAGTGGTTAGTGTGAGCATAGGAATGAGGGGGGCTACCACAGGGCACCAGGGATGCCAGAGCCACTTTTTCCTACAGGGGAGATGGTTGCTCATGCCCACTCAGCAAGCCAATTTTGGAACCTCATGCTTATCAGGCCATTTTCTTAGCCACCAAATGCCATCTGCACAGGAGCCCAGGGCTGAAATGAATGATGCCACATGTTGCAGATGAGGACTACGTTACAGGCTCCTTTGAGGTTTTCTACCAGCAGACCTGTGGGCTGAGGGAAGGAAAGTAACCTTGATTCCCCAGAACAGGGCACTCTTTAAGTGAGGTTGCTCTGAAGTGTGTGATGTTTATGTTAGATGTATTATTGAATCTGCTGAGAGGATCGATAAAGCCAACTTAGAACTTGTTTCAGTAATAGCCCATGTCACAGGCAAGCCTGGGTTGATTTTTTAAAAATATTAGAGTATTTGGGTTGGAATCCACTAAGCTGTCTCATGGAGCTAAGAGCAGAAAGTTCACTAGAGCAATGGCGTATTGACAAAAATCTGTCCAAATCTGTGTTAAGATGCCCCATAATGACAATAACATCATGTCCTCACTTCTTGGGAGCTTCATAGTTTGCAAAATATTTTCACTTTTAGTATTTCTTTTGTTTTTCGATCCTCATAATGGCCCTGAAATGGGATAGGGCAGGCATTATTTCTGTCTAGTTAAGACGTGGGTTTGGATGCCAGCCAGCCTGCTCTGAGTCGCGTGGTAAACATCCAGTGAAAATAGCTGTCTGGTACCCTCCCCTTTGTTTACAATCTGAGCTGAACCATTTTCCTTTTTCAGCCCATTTTGGATTCTCAGGGACCTGACCTCTTTCCTCAATCATACCTTGATCCTTGAGACTTGACACTTGACTCTGCTCTTCTGGTCTGCCCTCTAATTCCTACCTCCTTCAATTACAACTTCTGTCTGCTCCTTTGATTAGTTTACTTGCAGCTGCTCCTGGGTCATACCTTTCACGTGCAAACAACATTTCTATAATTACTGGTACTGCTACTAACACTGCTTCAAATAATAACAACAACAGCAACAACAGCTATCACTTGAGTACTTATGCTGAGTCAGACATGGAGTATTCCATGTGTTATGTCACTGAAATTTGGAACCTTAGACTATCCCTATGAAATAGATACTATTTTAATCCCTATCATACAGATAAGTTACAAAGAATTTAGGTGAACCCAATCAGTGTAGTTGAAAGAACACGGGCTTCACTATGTACTCACTGTGTGATTTTACACTAGTTACCTAATCTCTCTGTGCCTCAATTGCTTCCTCTGTAAAAACGTGGCTGATAATTCCTACTGTCTGAGGTTGATGTGAAGATTAAATAGGAAAGAGCCTGGCACACGGTAGGGTCTCAAAAAAATTAAGTTTCTCTTTTTTATTTTAGGGCTTTTATCTTCTACTCCTGAGAACTGCTATTAAGTGGATACTTTGGAATTCCAAATGCTATTTTATAAAAAGCAATGGTACTAACTTTTCCTTCTTCATAAAACATCAGCTATGGCCGTATATTTCATCAGAGAAGACAGGGAGTAGGGAACGGGATCCTTTCTGGCAGAGGTGTAGGAAATGGTTTTAGATTTCAGGGCTGGTTGAGAGTAATGGTTGCAGTGATGGGTAAGCATTCAGTTTGGGGTTGGAGGGACTGACCTTGGGAACTAATTGAGTGCACTGACTTGTTCTGACAAAGAAACCCCTGTTTTGGCTAAACAATGTATAAGAGATTTCCATGGGCAATGGGGGGAAAATTGAATTATTTAGCTTATTTCCATTCCAATGAGTTAATCAAGATAATTGCTGTTTTCCTGGATCTTTGCTTTTTCTTTGTAATTAACAAGGCCCTTGTTTAGAGAAAGGAGTTTAGCCAGTGAACTTTGTACAAATTGATGTGACTTTTTTGGGGTGCAAATTGTATTTAAAAATCTATTACAGATCCTTTTCCTTTGGATTCTAGGACTGTGAGAAACTGATGCTTCATCAACCTTGAGAAAAACTTTATGGTTCAAGGATTCAACAAATTCAGCAGGGGGCAGCAGGGCAGAGCTGAAAGATCGTGAGCTTTGGCATCAGACAGACCTGGGTTGTGATCCCTGTTCTGCCTTGTTTTCACAATACAACAGTGGACAGATGAGCCTCTCTCAGCCTTAGTTTCTATTTCTGTAAGATAGATATTATCACCCATCTTCCACAGCTGTTGTGAGGACGAAATGCAATAATGCAGTTCTAGCCCACAAATGATGGTCAACAAGGCTAGTTCCTTCCCCGTCTCCCACATACTCTTTTCTAATGGGCACACATTTGGCAGTCTCAGTTGTTTGGGACATGGGAAGACCTCAAAAAGAAGCTTAAAACAATCTAAGTAGAAAAAGAGATGTTATAAAGTCCATTCATCAAAACATCTCATAGAGGAACACCTCAGATGTATATATATGTATTTATTTTTGGCTAGGATTGCAATAAGCTGAATTTCTGGTTCTCTAACCATAACACTTAAGAAGCCCTACCCTGGATAAAGAGAAGGGAAGTAAGCTACTTGAGGTGGGCACCATGACTGAAACAAATAGTGACGTGATAGTGCCACGCTGAGGGAGGAAGCAGTAAGACCACACCTGTTAGACACGGGAGCTAACAGAAGAGCAGTTTAGAATCACTCCCAGCAGGGCTGAAGGGTTCTGTAGCCTCATTTCTCCACTTCCTGGAAGCTATCTTCATATTACAGAATAATCTGCAACTGTTGTTGTTCCTTATGATGACCCTGACTCATAAAAAGAAAGGTTTCATTATGTCTGTAGTAATGCATTCGAGAAGGCAGGCATGTAACGCACTTCCTAAGTTGCAACCAAATTTTTGAAACTTGAAGATGTGAGCTTTGATTATATGGACACGGAACTGTTCCTTCTCCCATTGCCATATTTCTGGACAGCGGTCCTATGAAGATATTAGTACTTTATCAAGTACTTTTCATCTACATCACCTCCCTGTGGTATGTTGGGCAGGTATCCACTGTTTCCATTTTACAGATGTGGAAACTGAGGCCTGGCGAGATTAACTCCATGGTAGAGCTGAGATTCAAGCCCAACTCCCGTGACTCCAAAGCTCATGCCTTTTCTACTATACCACATTCCTCCCTAAAGCAGTCATCCGGAATATGAACATGCAGAACATATTATAGGTAATGGTTCACATCCCAAATGAATTAAATACATCGAAAAATTAACACTTCATCAATTCATCTCTAATCTTACAATGCATCTCATGAAACAAAACCATCAAATGGCCTTGTCTTGATACTTACTCGTAAAATGTTGTCCATCCATTTTCATTGCTTTTGGTGGCCAGAAGGCCAGAGTTGCCATGGTATGTCATCATGGCCAACTCGTGCCCTTGTGTGGTCACACTCTTGAGTGCACTGTTGGTGCCCATGGTCACCCAGTACACCTGTCCATCTGGGACCACCAGCCAGAGGGGCATCCCAGTAGAGTCTCGGCGGACATTCACCATATTGCCGTTGTTGTCTGTGATGAGTGTGATGTCGCCATCCCCAGTGTAGGTAAAGTTGTACAGGTAATCTCCCGTGGGGAGGCTTTGGGTGTACAGATGCTTGCCACTGGTATCAAACAGGTAGAGCTCCTGGTCGATTGGTGATGACAGCTCGTACATGTTCTGGGTATTGAGGAAAGGCTTGTTCTTCCTGATAAACCGAATTCGGATATTCCCAAGGTCAGCCACATAGAGCTCCCCATCAGCACACACAGCCAAAGAAGATGGGGTATTCAGCTTTGCATCCTTGGCATAACCATCATCCCCAGAGAAACAATCACAGTTGGCATCATTTTTACAGTCACAAACACTGGGCGCCCCAGCAACTAGTGAGATCTCTCCACTAGTGGTGACCTGCCTGATGCGGTTGATCTTCTTCTCATCGGTCTCAGCGATATACAGGACCCCATTGTGAGAGACAGCCAAGGCAGTGGCTGACTCCAGTGTTGCATGGATGGCCACCTTGCTCAGCAGGAAGTGGTCAATGCCCGGCACCTGGCAGTGCATGGGCCTCCCAGCAACAATGCGCACCTGGTGGTTTTCAGAGATTTGCAGGACCACATTGTTGTCGAGGACATAGAGAGAGTTGTCCATTGGGTTGACGGCTAAGTCTGTGGGCCACTCCAGGCGAACCTGACAATGGAGACATCAACACTCAAATGCCTGTCAAGGTGCCCACCACTAATCATCCCACACCCACATCAGCCTGCCACAGCGTCCCAGGTGCCTTCATAGGCAGTCTTCCCTGATCCTCACAGCAGCCTGTCATCAACAACGGATATCAGCCCCCTGAGCAGACTGAAACCATGTGAGAGCTGCCTGAGACATCTGATGGTCCATACTAGACTGACAAAACACAAAAAAGGGGATGCAGAAAGTAAGCAAATAAAAAAAGCAGGCAAGAGAATAGGCTTTGGAGTCAGTCAAGGCTGGGTTCAGACCCTAGTCCCACCATTTATGACCTTGGGCAAGTTACTTCGCCTCTCTGAGCCTCAATATTCACACACATATTTCATTCTGTAAAACAGGAATGACAACAGTGCGGAGTGCCTGACCCACTATAAGTGCTCAACTAATGGCAGCTCATGTTATGGAGGGGGAGAGAAAGGCAGATGGAGTCTGGAGGCTGAAGCAGGAGTTGTTCAGAGGCTTAGGAAAGACTCTTCATGAATTGTTGCTGTGTGGATGAAAGATGCCTTCTCAATTCTTTGAGTTCCTGGATTAACACATGGCTAGGCTCTGGGGATGTGAAGACAAAGTAACCATGAACCCTGTCTGACACAGTTCCAGACCAGGGATTCTCAAATCTGGCCACACATTCAAATTACCTGTGGGGATTTTTAGAAAGTAACGGTGCGGGCCGGCCCAGAGGCGTAGCGGTTAAGTTCGCACGCTCAGCTTCGATGGCCCGGGGTTCGCTGGTTCAGATCCTGGGCGTGGACCCACGCACCGCTTATCAAGCCATGCTGTGGCAGGTGTCCCACATATAAAGTAGAGGAAGACAGGCATGGATGTTGGCTCAGGGCCAATCTTCCTCAGCAAAAAAAAGAGGAGGATTGGCGGCAGATGTTAGCTCAGAGCTAATCTTTCTCAAAAAAAAAAAAAAAAGAAAGTAATGGTGCTCAAGTTCCACCTCTAATCAATTAAATCACATCCCTGGGTGTGGGGCTTGGGGAATAGGATGATTTCAAAAGCTCCTTGGGCAATTCTAATGTGGGGCTGGGAATCACAATTGGATCCTTTCTCCTTCAAGTGTCATCACTGGACCAGCAGTGTTGACATCATCTGGGAACTGGTCAGAAATTCAGAATGGCAGGCCTTGGCCCAAACCTACTGAATGAGAATCAGCATTTAAACAAAATGCCTGGGTGGCTCTTGTGCACACTGAAGTCTGTGAAACCTTGCTCTAGATCATGGTTTCTAGTACCTCGCAGAACAGGTCCTCCTGGAAGGGATTGATGATGCTGGCAATGGGAACGAGGGGTTCAGAGGTCCTGGGCCCCTGTCTCAGCCTGCTCTGAGTCAGGCAGGGAAGCTGGCAGGGATCTCAGTGAGCTGTCAGGTGGGCATGCAGGGGGCTGCAGCCAGCAGTCTGAGGCGGGGAATGCTTTGTTCAGTGGACGCGGAGGCTGGATTGTTGCATATATCACACTGAGAGATGCTGGCACTAAGGGAAGCCCTTTGCCACTTGTGTCCCCAAGAGGTCCAGCCACACTGTACTTGGGCTGGATGTGCTGACAGGTGCTGCCTCCCCTCCTCAGATCTCTGAATCTCCTACAAACCCTTGATATTTGGTCCAATTTGGGGCTGATTTAAACAAGTGTATACCTTTAGATAAGAAATTTCTCTTCTAGGAATTTACTCTTGTACACCATTGTCTACAGGAGTGTTTATCACAGCAGTGAAAAACTGGAGCCAACCCAAATGCCCAATGCGAGAGAATTGGCTAAATACATTATATTACATTTTGTTCACCCATAAGTGAGGATACTCTGTGTAGGTATTAAAAGTGATATTATAGATGGCTATCTAATGACATGGGAAAATGTTTGCTCTCTATTAAGTGGAAAGAACAGGTTACAGAACTGTAAGCACAGTGTGATCTCAGCTGGGGAAAAAATACAACAGCAAATTAGACAGATTATAGATAGAGGGGAGATTAAAAGCTTGAAGGATATACACCAAAATGTTAACCATATTGGGATTAGAGGTAACTTTTAACTTCTTTGTAATTTTCAACTTTTTATATTTCCTACAAGGCACATGTAGCAGTTTACTAATGTAAAAGAAACCCTAGTAAATTATATACACTGAGATGTGGCCGCCTCCATCTGCCCCTTCAGCTCAGGGCCATGCTCAGGACAGCGTGAGCCCTTTCTCATTTCTTCTGAGCACGATCCTCAGGCCCTGCTTCCTAAAGTCTTCTTGTTCCCTCCCTCTCAGCCTGGGTCCCTCTATCCCCACAGAACAAGGGAGCCTGAGGCACACCAGAGCCACTGGCCAGGGCTGCTGCCTGCACACTTCTCAGTGTTCTCTGGAGCACATGGTCACAGCAGCCTTTGGCTGCATCCAGAACACAGTTTACTCTCAAGTGACGGGAATTTTCAGTTTCCTAAAACCCATTTCTTGTCAACACTGGCTGCTAAATATTTTATGCCCTCTGGTCTTGTGGCACCTTGGGGACCTGCTTGCCCAGACCTTTCTGCCTGTCATTATGATGAAAAGATGGCTCCCTGATGGGTGGGTGGGAGGGGGAAGAGGGAGTCAGGGGAGGGGGAGGGAGAGGAGATGGGGGAAGAAAGGAAGAGCAAGTGCTTTCCTGCTCTCTCCTTTATGCCCTCAGGCGCAGAGGCACCTGGGAAAGAAGAGCAGGGCTCTTGGAGTCAGTGCTCGCTCGCTGTGTCGCAGTGCCTGCGTGATGGCTCTGGAGTAGACCAAGTACCCAAGCTTCGCCGACTTCACTTTCCTATTAGTGACCATCATGCTGAGGTTTAATTCCCCACCCAAAGGAGGGATGAGACTTAAAATTTCCGAGCTCCCTCCAGCTCCCACTTTCTACTGCCCTGAGGTGGAATGGCGCTCCCTCTCCCTGTCTCCCCTCACCTTCTGTGCCTTTATTAAAGCACTCTGAGCTGACTGCCTTGTTGCAGAGTTATTTTCAAAAATAGATCCTCCAATAGATGAACAAATGAATGACTGGTGAGTGGCAAAGAGAGAGCCAGGGATGTGGGGTCAGGACCCCTCACTTCCTAGCTCAGCTCCACAACGACTACAGGTGTGATCCTGCTCAAGTTAGTTAAACACTTTGAACTTCCTTCCCCATATGGTAAAGGTGGTAACAAATATCATATAGAGAGTTGTGAAGACCAAATGAGACAACGAACAAGGAAGGTCTTTGTAAATTATAAAGAAAACTAATATTTACAGCCCATTACTAGTGGCCAGGCACTGTGCCAGGCAGTTTATGAACATGATTTCATAAAGAAATTCATTTCCACATCCCTGATGGAACCTAGCACAGGGCTTTGCATTTATAACTGCATTTTGTTTCACCAAACCTTGGTTTCCTTATCTATAAAATGGGGTAGGTAATCCCTACCTCGTGGGATTATTGTGACAGCTAAATCAGAAACGTGGTCGTGCTCATCTCTGTATCCCTTTTTCTAACAGTGTCTGACACATAATAAGTTCTCAGGAGATCATTCTGAGCCCTAAGTACACAGTTATATTCTGTGTCTGTGGTGGCCGAAGCCTGCTGAGTTGAGAACTAGTCCCATTTTGAACAAGTTGCAGCATCTTCTGTGCCTTCTCCAGTCTCTGCCTCCCTCTCCTCAGGCCGGGTCTTCGTCTCCTCCTAGAGGAGATGGTCTAAGTTCCTAGGTTCTCTTCTTTGAAGTCTTGCCTCTGAGCAGTCTTCTTAGCTCTCTGGCTTATTTCCCTGCTCCACATGGGGCAGTAAAGTAGCTGGATGTGTGTAACAGAGGAAGCTCTGAGAGGGAAACGCAGTACCCCTGCCCATATATGTATATAAAAATATATGCCTGTGTCGGAGAGTTTGGAAGAAAGAATACCACACTTAGATTCAGACGAGGGTGGTGGGGACAGGGACATAGAGATTTCAGTCCAGGATTTCTGAATCTGAGTGTGCTTTTTCCCCCCTCCACAATATGCCAGTTA